GTTTTCTGTCATATCAGTAGGTTAATTTCATATGGAAACATCTTCATTCTACAATGAAGACTTAGAAATTAAGCTGGGAAATTATTTCAAATTATCTGCAGTCTATGATTCTGTTAGATTGCACATTCCACACCACTCAGTTCAATGCAACTCCCCAAAAAAGCAGTTGAACAGAACATAGAAGGGGTAAAGGAAAGAAAAATTAAGCAACCTGGCAAGAGCTCTGCCCCAGCCCTGAGCTGAGCTGAGAGGTGAGGAAGCCACAACTAAGTCGAAAAGATTCAACATCGCTGGAAGGAAGAACACTCTGCCCATATCCATTGGTAAAACTATATATGTTCGTGGCATGATAATATGAAGGACCTGATGATGCACAAGGACTTCCTGCTCAAAAATCTCAACCCCGTCCCTTGACATTTTATCATCAGGGATTTAAGCCTTTGCAATTACCAAGGGGAGGCAGATCCCGCAGTGTAAGCTAACACCCAAAAGGAATAGAATGCCAGCCACTTGAAAAAGAAAGTGTAAGCTAACACCCAAAAGGAATAGAATGCCAGCCACTTGAAAAAGAAATATAGAAAAGCTAAGTACGGAATGAAAAGTTGGTGGTAAAAAAGACCACTGAGAGTGTAGGTAACTGTACATAAAAAAAAAAAGAAAGAAAAGGCAAATATTCCACATATGTGACTCTTTTCCCTGAATTTTCGGTACCCTGGTTAAGGAAAAGGAGCAGTGAGAATCAAAGCAAATAAAGTATGCATTGGGCACCTCGTCTACAAATGCCTTGTTGTAGCTGTGGGCTACAAGGAGGAAACAAAATGTAGAAATGGAAGTAGGAAGATAGAAAAAAGGCATATTAACAAATCAAAGTTACACCAACAAGAAAGCATGAAACAAAATCCTAAAACACATCTTGTGCTAAATATAAGAATTTCTAATTCCATGTCAACTGTATTTAGAGATTTGATCCTATTGAAATATGGAAATAAATTGGTACCTGATGAGAAAAATGCTGGCTATTACTCATCTCCAAGGGCTACACCTACAGGAGATTGACTATATGAAAATGTTAGGCAAATATTAAAAACATTCACTCAAAATCTGCTTTGAGTAAATACCAGCTTATCATTGCCATGGACTAAAACCGAAGCTGTATGGTTTCTTATAAATATGTAAAGTACAAAAGAAAAAGAAATATAAAATATTTTTTCCTCCCTCAATTCCTAAAGAACAAATGTCCTAAAACTAATTTCCTCATAAACACAGGAGCTGTTGCACCATTCGAGTATGAAGCCTGAGGAACTGCAATTAGGGGCACTAAAATAGACTCCTGGTCTCCTTAACTCAGTTTTCAAAAACTAGGTGTTCTTTTTCAATAGCTTTCTTTTATTCATTCTGTCAGTGTGTTTTTGTTGAGCATCTCCTACAGGCAAGCCATGTTGCTTAAAATGAAAAATGTAAAGTTTAGATCACCTGATTCCTACACTTAAGGATCTCGAAGATTTGCAGAAAAGTTAAGATACATCCAGACAAACAGCTATAATGTAAAGCAGAAGATGTCAAAAGAAAAATTAAATATTAAAGCAAAATGCAAGGATAGTTCAGAGGAAGCAGAAAATATTTGCAGTGTTGGGAGAGGCAAGGTGTTTTTCATGGAAAACACCAGCTGAGTAGAGCCCTGAAGACCATGTAGGATTTCTATAATTATAGATAAAACCTAAAGGAATTCCAAATGAAAGAAATAATACAATAAAAGGAGCAAACATGAAAAAGCCCAAAAAGTATTTGGGGAAAGAGCATGTAGTCTAATTGTGTATGTTTAGTGTTTATGTTCTGTATATTAAGAACAAAATGCTAGACTTCCATGATTTTAGGAGCTACTGGCTCATACTCAGATTTTCAAAGCATACTTGTATACAAACCATAAACTATCTTCTGTTGGAATAATATCATTACATTTACATCTGATACCTTCTAGCTCAACCCTTTATTTTAGCGGAATTGAAAAACTGAATTTCAAAGAAGATAAACGGCATTTGTAAGTTCATACAGCTAATTAATGGTGACGCTGAGACCCAAAGTGTGGAGTTTATCATTCTGGTCCAGGAGGAAGGATTTATCCCAGGCCATAAATGTTCTCTTGCTCCACACCCTACCTCCCACTCTCTCCTTAATCTTGCCAAAATATGCATTGGTTCACAGGCTGACCCATGCAGTCTATGACCAAGGGAGAGAGTATTTTCTCTGTAAGATGTTAATTGGTTCATATAGGGAGTCAGTCTCTACCTTGGCCTTGTTAGCTCCCAGGTTCAAACTAACTCCTAGACTACACCTTAACTAAGTAGATCAAAACAGCGTTGTCACCAAGAAAATTTCTGAAAAGAACCAATAGCAGTTGAAATGCATTAAACATAACTTTCTTAGATTTGACTCCCTCTAGAGTATGTTGGAGGAAAAGACTTGATCCAGTGAATTCTTTTCCAATACACATTTTAAAACATGGAAAGTTCTTGATACAATACTCCCCTCCTCCCACAAAATCTGTAAGTTTTCTTTAAAAAAAAAAAAGCAGAAACAATTCAGTTTTTCTTAACGGATGGAGCTAAAATGTTTCTGCTGAATAAACTACTGATTTATATATCTAACTCACTCACTTACTGGTACCAGGACCAGAGATCTCTATAAAGCACATCATTAAATACTGGCTCTGTGATTTAAAGTATTAAAATTCCAAATTCACAGTAATACGTTTAGTATGGGGCAGGTTGTGTTCTTTTTAATAAGCTAGAATTTAATAAATGCTATCAAATCAAATAAACTTATTGTGAAACCTTTTTTCTTCCTACAATTTCAATAAAAGTTCATTAACCAAATTCAATGAGATTCAGCTTTTTCACATATATAAAAAACATATATTCATTTGTAAATGTGAAAATGTCATAAGTTCTTTTCTGGCAGGATATGAAGGTATTAGCTCCGTATTGCAAAAAAGAAACTCAAGAACTTGCTTAGTTCTCCCAAAATCTTAATCCTTGAATACATTTAAGAGATTTCTTTCACATGTTTTGCATTCTTGGTCTAAGGTAGACTTATTCAACATAAAAATTTTCTCAATGTCACTGAAGCATTAAGTATGATATATCAATAATAATAGAAGTATTTATGAACTCCCTCACAGGAATAACATCCATGCTAGTATAATCAAATTACCACCAATCTTTTTTTGTCCCTTCCCATTCTAGCAAGGAACATACATAAAGCATATACATATACATATTTTATAAATATATATAGATACAGTATTTATGGATATATATGTATATTAGTGAGCTCTGTTTAGTGAGCTTCTGCTAACCTATATTGGTAGACCCAAGTATAGTGTTATTTTACTGTCTACCACTCCCAAATTTAAATAGTGTACTTAAAGAAATTTGAATATAACATGGGAGAAGAAACCATAAAATCTTGATTTGAAAATACATTAACATTCATCTGAATTCATGCAGAAATTCTACTCTACCAGAAAACACATTCCATTTTAGGCAGTGCTCATGGTCCAAAATTACCCCTTATGTCATTCTTTCTCAGTAATGTTCCTCCCAGTACAGAAAGCTCTCATTAGGCCTTGGGTCCCCAGCTATTAGTTGATTAGTAAAGTGCTTTGGCTTGTCGACTAATACTACTACTTAACTTGATTGATTAATATACATTAAAGGGGCAGAGGAAAGTCATGCTGGTGGGAACCTATAACAGATTGGTTATTTATTTGTACACTATGGGGCATTAAGAGTTCATTATGACTTTCTTGAATACTGCAAAGTAGATAATTGCTCACTTTCTGCAGGATTGAGAAAAAAATTCCAGTTTTTCACAAGTTGCAAAATGTAGTGACTAATCCTTATTATATTGTATTACACAGTTGTATGATGACTCCTGATGTCAATAGACCATTTTCCATTCCACAGACTAGACTCACTTGACTTTCTGTTTATTTAAATGACACTCTTGTTTGAAATTCTGGGTGCTTCTTATCCCTTTGAGTCACACACTGTGTCTGGGAGCCTCTGCTCTGGCACTTTTAGCACCTCATTAATTACTAACCGTAGCAAAGTCCTGCTGTTTTGCAACTTCTCTGCCTTTGTTGGGAAATCACAACCCCTTGCTAGAATGAGAAGCCAGGACAATAGTTATCTGCCAAATGTCCAGTTTGTGAGCATATTACAAAGGCTAATTATCTTAGGGTCTTGTAATTTCCCTAGATATTCAAACTTGATAAGATAACTCAGTGTATCTCTGAAGTACCTTTACCGTTTAGGACCAGGCAAAATCCGGGAAGCATTTGCATTCAGCTAACTGATAGAGAAGTTAAATAATTGTTACAGTTATAAGTGAGAATAGGTGATGAAACAGAATATAGTCTCCTGGTTAACATGGGCATCTTTTAGAGAGAGTCCGAGGCACAATACCCACAGGCAGGCCTAACAGCACTCTCAACTTTTTTTGCACATACCATCTGAATCTCCCATTTGGCTTTCAATCTGTGCTCTGCTCCACTGTTGTTTATTTTTGGAGCATACTAGTTCTGACACCAATCCCCCCTACCCATGCCAGTAAGTTTTAAGCCCTTCAGAGGTAGGGGCTATATCCTCTAATATTTTTTATCTGTAACACCTAGAAGAATGCTCCACACATTTCTCTATATAGATACTTAAAATACAGGGTATTTTCCTATTACAAAATATAACAATAAAAATGTAAATAATTCTATCAATCAATGCAAGATCTTGGATTACAACCGACAATTTTATGAAGAAGAAACCTGTCAAACCAACCTGGTGTTTTATGTCAAGATGGCAGATATACTGAATATAAGAGTTATCCACACCAGCATTAGAAATGGGTTCTTTCCCTTTGTGGCACATTTATCAATAAAGAGACTACATATTCTTGAAATAAGTATTCCTCAATCTGGGGTTTAAATAAGAGTAAACGGAATCCAGTCCTTTCCAGCGGTGACGACCTCCCCACGAGAACATGCCCCTCGCGAAGGATCTCCTGCACCCGTCCCCGGAAGAGGAGAAGAGGAAGCACAAGAAGAAGCGCCTGGTGCAGAGCCCCAACTCCTACTTCATGGATGTGAAGTGCCCAGGATGCTACAAAATCACCACCGTCTTCAGCCACAGACAAACGGTAGTTCTGTGTGTTGGCTGCTCCACTGTCCTCTGCCAGCCCACAGGAGGAAAAGCAAGGCTTACAGAAGGATGCTCCTTCAGGCGGAAGCAGCACTAAAAGCACCCTGAATCAAGATGAGTGGGACACTATCCCAATAAACAGATTTTGGATTAAAAAAAAAAAAAAAAAGAGTAAACGGAATCCAAAGGATAGCTTTTCACAGTACTGAAGAGTCCTTACTCCTTCCTTTCATAGTGAATGCTAAGACTCAGAGTCAAGTTAACCATTCTGATTTGCTCTCCCTCTTCCCATAAAAACTGTGGTTATCTTGTCTGAAATGTTCCCTTTCAGCACCAGCCCTTTCCCAGACAAAGAGACTTAGAGGTGTTGAGAATCATTCACTGATCTAGGAGGAGCAATGGCTCTTGATAAAGATAAAAGGATGCCTCATTTAAGTCCCATCTCCACCTCTGCTCGTACCCTATCAGATATTTTGGAATCTCATCCCACATTCTCTCCTTTCCATGCTGACCTCCCTGCTTTGTGAGTCCATTCCCTCTTCTCACCTGGTAAAAGGATAGAGGGGCTCTGAGACAAAAATGATCCCCCACCAGGCTACCAGATAAAAGGAATGGAACATCATAAGATTACCAGTGTTTCCCAGGCTTCCTTGTTAATAAATGTTACCTGGGTCGCTTATTAAATACGCTAAAAATTCTGATTTCTGATTCCATAGGTCCTAGACCTAGACTCTGGACTCTATTTTGTTAGTAAAGGCTCTAGGCGATTCTTATCTTTAGGCATATTTGGGAAAGAGTAGGAAATGCGTTTTACCCTGTTGACACACTAAAACCTCTGGGAAGTATTTAAATCATACAGATGCCCCAATCACCAGAGATTTTAATTTAATTACATTGAAACAGAGTCCATTCATCAGTACTTTTAAAAGCTCTCCCAAATGATTATATCATGAAGCAGCTTCTCAAGCTTTAATGTGCATACAAATCACCCAGGAAATGGTTAAAATGATTCAGTAGATTGTTATTCAACAAGTCTAGGGTGGGGCCTAAGATTCTGCATTTTCTAACAAAGTGATGTCTGTGGTGCTAGTCTGTGGACCAAATGTGAGTAGCCAGGACTATTGATTAGTATCTTTGGGACTGAAGCCAGAGCTAGAGCTAGTGCTGGCTCACTCACCTTCCCTTTCCCTCTCTCTCTCCCACACATTATTTCTATATTTTAGATTCCAGTAGTGAGTGACGTGAATAGCATGGAAGAGAAGATTGAGAGTAACCTGCCATCCTGCCCAGATGGGAGAACTATTAGGTGAATGAATGTGACAATGGGCCCCAGTGCCTGACATAGGGCCTGGAATGTGAGCTCTCAGAAATTGCCTCTGAATAGGAATCTGAACATTGTGAGGGGGCATATGCATGGAGTGGGTCATTCAACTGGTCTCAAGAAGGAGGGAAAAATTTGAGCCCAAATCTTTCCTTTAAACAGTAATAACTTTAACACCTGAACTGCCCTTTCCCTATATCTCCCTCAGATTTGCTTCAAAGTCTGGCTTTCACTCAAGTCTTCAAAGACTGGTACCTTGACTGAACTGCTCATTTATCTGTAGGCTAAAGAGTAATCTTGGTGTTCTCTATTCTAAAAATAAATATGGGGGCTTCAGTTCCAAAAGCAAATGCAGAAATATTAGAACTTCCTTCTATTATATTCAGAATTCACCTGACTCTAGACTTTACAAATGCAAGTATATCAATATCAATGAAGAATTATTCAAAGAACAAAAATTAAAAGGTTTAACCCAAGAATATGAATAAATTCATAATTATTTTAAACTCTATGAAGAGTTCTTCATTGGAAAATGGTAATGATGTTCCAGGTCAATGCCCAAAGATGGTACTAAAGGAATACTGAATAAATGTGAGTGAGTGAATAAATGAACTAGTGAATGAATAAGCTGTCCTGAAACTCCACTGATACAAAACAAAAGGATATGAATTTTTAAAATAGTACAGCATGAGTGATGAAACCGTGTTCAGAATCCTGGTGTGGGCAAAAGTATCCTGCTAATGAAAAGGAGCAGGTTTTATTCTCAGCTCTGCCAGTATGGCCTTGGGCAAGCCATTTAAGCTTTCGGGTCTCAGTTTCCTCATATACAAAATAAAATAATATATACTAGATAATCTCTTAGAGTCCTTACAGGTCTAGAATTCTATGAATTTTACAAGCCAAATTAAACTGAAACTTCCATTAACAATTGAAGTTTTACAAGTTTCTAGGCAAAGATTCCAGTTTGCTTTTGAAATTTCAACTCAGGGGGTGCCTGGGTGGCTCAGTTGGTTGAGCGTAGGAGTCTAGATTTCAGCTCATCTCAGGGTCGTGAGATGAGCCCCACCTCAGCCTCCAGGCTCAGCGGGAGTCAGCTTGAGATTCTTTCCTCTCTCCCTCTGTCCCTCCCCACCCCCACTCTGGCACTTGCTCTCTCTCTCTCTAAAAAAAAATAAATCTTTTTGAAAAGAGAAATTCCAGTGCAGTACACAAACTTTATGCTGGCATGGCTTGTATCAGTGGGAAATAAAATTTGTTCTGCAACTTTAAAAGCCCGCAAAGAATATTGGAAACTCCCTCTCCTAACGTCTTTAAAAACTGTAGACACTTACCGCTCTCAACGATGCTTTAAAAGTTCTCCTACCTCAAGTTTAAGTGGCAAACAGGTTTCTCTATTGTACTCCAGCTCCCACTGATTGATGGTCACAGCACAGAGCCCTGTATGTAAAGGATCCTAAAGCCCCTTAGCACTTGGTGATTCAGAGTACCACGATCACATCAGTGCTGTGCACTTCAGAGGGAAGGAACTGTGGTACCAGAATGAAACATTTGCCAAGCGTGAAGGATTAAATTAACTCCCAAACCCTTCAAGTTCTCTAAAATACGTGTATTTCAACTTGGTATTAAAGGTAATCATTCTTGGGGCGCCTGGGTGGCTCAGATGGTTAAGCCTCTGCCTTCGGCTCAGGTCATGATCCCAGGGTCCTGGGATCGGGTCCCACATCGGGCTCCCTGCTCGGCGGGGAGCCTGCTTCTCCCTCTGCTTCTCTCTCTCTCTCTCTCTCCCTCTGTCTCTCATGAATAAATAAAATCTTTAAAAAAAAAAAAGGTAATCATTCTTTAACAATGTACATAAAATAAAAGAAGCCATTTTTGTATTTAACTTTTAAATACCAATTAATTCAACAAAAGAAAATATATTTTATTCCAGGGGATTCGGATGTTCCATCTTTCAGTCAATCTTGCCCAATATCTGTACAGACCTATTGAATCTTACCCTGTAAATTATTCATTACTTCCCTCTTTGTTATCTCAATGCAAATTGTCTACTTTAATTCCCTTATTTACTCACCTTCTGCATACTCATTTTGGTTTACTTACACTAGGTCCTATGCTGATGGAAAGAATCAGAATCTGACTTAAGGGTAACCTCAGAAGCCCAATAACTACAAAGTGTGTTTCTCACTCATGTAATATGTCCAGCAGAGTCAGGAGGGGCTGGGGCTGTTCACTGTAGTCCCACAGTGACTGAAACTGATGAAGGCTTAATTTTGTCAGTGCTTCCATGATTGTCAAAGCATTAGAAAGAGAATGTGGTAAACCTGACCTGACCCTGACTCTTAAAACTTTTTTTTTTTATTATTTTATTTATTTGAGAGAGAGAAACAGAGATAGTGAGAGAGAGCATGAGCAGAGAGGAGAGGGAGAAGCAGGATCCCAACTGAGCAGGGAGCCCGACACGGCCTGAACCCAGCACCCTGGAATCATGACCTGAGCCGAAGGCAGATGCTTAACCGACTGAGCCACCCTGGCACCCTGACTCTTAAAATTTTTATCTTCAAGTGACTTAGTATCACTTCTGCTCTCATTTCTTTCCATGTATACATTCTATGCCTAACTTTGCTGAACAACCCCATGGCTACGACACAAGGCCATGTCAGGGCCAGCATTATAGAGAAAGCTCTTTTGGTTATTTTTCACCCACATTTGAGTGCTGTATGAGATGTCTTTGGCCTCCAAGTAAATCTGTTCTTGAACTATTATATTAGGTCTCACCAGCATGGGGAGGAATTTTGTTCCTCCTCTGACCTTTGATTATAAATTCCTTATGGACATTTTGCACAAGGTCTTACGTATCCACAACAGTTCTACCCCTACTATATGAAAAGGAACATGAATGATTGTCAGTAAGAGACTGGACTGTGATTTCTTTGTCCCATTCTCCCTCCTTCTCTCTTTGAGTTCCAGAAATGTTCTCCACCTCCCCTTCCTTCTGATAAGGAAACCTTTTAAGTACTGATTTCTTACTATGACTTTCAATGAAACTCTATATTTACACCTCCATACAAACTTATTACAATATTATTGGCTATATTCCCTATGCTGTACTTTTCATTTCCATAACTTACTTATTTTGTAACTGGAAGTTTGTACCTCTTCATCGTCTTGGCCTATTTCACCCAACCCTCCCACACCTCCCCTTTAGCAACCACCAGTTTGTTCTCTGTATTTAAGAGTCTGGCTTTTTTTCTGTTCATTTGTTTTGTTTCTTAGATTTCACATACAAATGAAATCATATGGTATTTGTCTTCCTTGGTATGACTTATTTCACTTAACATAATACCCTCTGGGTCCATTCATGTTTTCACAAATGTAAGATTTCATTCTTTTCTTAAAGCTGAGTATCTATTTTATATATATGTAATATATATAAATATCTCATATCTTCTTTATCCATTCATCTATCAATGGACATATTTGTGTTGCTCCTATACCTTGGCTATTGTAAATAATACTGCAGTATACATAAGGGTACATATATATTTTCAAATTAGTATTTTCATTTCTTTTGGGTAAATACCCAGTAGTGGAATTATTGGATCATATGGTATTTCCATTTTTAACTTTTTGAGGAACCTCCTATTTTTCATAGTGCACTAATTTACATTCCCACCAACAGTACACAAGAGTTCCCTCTTCTCTACATCCTTGCAAACACTTGTTATTGATACTAGTCATTCTGATTGTTGTGAGGTGATAACTCATTATGGTTCTGATGTGCATCTGTACTCAGCTACTTTTAATCTTCAGTGTATATTCTGGATAATTTTCCTGTGTCATAGGACATCCC